AATGTCTACACATAATATTGTCTACACATATAATGTTGTTTGTACAATAATGTTATCTATATATATAATGTTGTCTATACAATAATGTTATCTATACATATAATGTTGTCTATACAATAATGTTATCTAAACAATATTCCCCGTACAATGTAAAAACTCTGATACATAAATTTATAACATTGAAGCATTAAGACCCCAATTTCAGATGTATTAAAAATACAGGAAATTAGCTACCAAGAATTTGAGGAATCGAAACGTCATGAGTCAACGTCCTCTTCCACGAAGACCTTACGAAGTTAAAGAATCGAGGCAAATGTTCATAGTCCATCGGTTGAATATCATTGGCCTACTATTGACCCGGGCGGTGGTCAAGTTGAGCAAGTTGCCTGTCGAAAAGCTAAGAAAACGAGTTCTTTTCGCCGTTTCCTTCGACCTTCGATACCCATGCACCATGTTCCACAGCAACCTAGATACAAGTTTTATTCCGTAGACACTAATTTGTGTCGGTTGTCGTGTACCGTTCTGCCGAATATTTTTGACGATTCTAGAATTCGTTTAACCCCTTTTATGGGAATTTAAAAATTTTTATCCTGTGTTCAAAGGTAAATAGATAGACGTTAACAAGATTCAGAAGTGATTCCAAATCTTTTGCAAATGAAGGGTGTTAACAAGATTTAGAAGACAGGAAACAGAGATGTGGAAGCATTCGCACAGACGTGCATCGGAACTGGTTTCCACGTGCACGAAGTGAACCAAGCAACTGGGACACGCAACATATTGGGTGGCCATAAAAATTTTCAAACGTAGAGTCAGGTAGCTGTCGATGACATTGGTTTATTAATTAGTTGACGAAGGTGAGCACTGTGATTGAATTGGATTTGGGGGATTTAGGTGGGAGTTGAGCTAATGTCGTTGTAATTGAGAGAGAATTCTAAATTTCTGACTAGTCTTTCTTACAATTAGTTTTTATATCAGTTTTTATATTTAAGTTTGATATTATCAGAGTCTTAATATTCCAATGTTCTAATATCCCAAGACTCCACAGCCAATAGCCTAAGAGCCCAAGCTACCATTATCCAAAATTTGGAACACCCCAAAATTTTAGTATTCCAAAGCCCCAAATTAGCTTTACCCAAATTTACAGTACCCATAAGTCCATAATGGAGTCCCAAGTGACTAATAATTAGAATTTCCACGCGTCCAAGTTTTCAATCTCCCGAATTTCCAATCTCCCAAGTTCCCAATCTCCCAAGTTCCCAATCTCCCAAGTTCCGAATCTCCCAAGTTCCAAATCCCCAAGTTCCAAATTTTCCAAATTCCCAATCTCCCAAGTTCCCAATCTCCCAAGTTCCGAATCTCCCAAATTCCAAATCTCCCAAGTTCCAAATCTCCCAAGTTCCCAATCTCCCAAGTTCCGAATCTCCCAAATCCCAAATCTCCCAAAGTGCCCAACACTCCAAAGTCCCCGATACTCCACCTTTCCTAATACTCCACCTTCCCCAATACTCCACCATCCCCAAAACACCAACCCCCAAAAATCCCAACCTTGCACCACCCCAAACTCCCTCTCCCTCTCTCTGAATCCTCCCAATCCTAAAACTCCGCTCCCATGCCAACTTCCCGCACAACTGATATCCATATCACCAGAAACCGGTACATCAAAGCTTTCTCCAACCTCGCACGATACGCGGAAATGGAGTACGTAATTATTCATCATCAAGTTCGTACAGGTGTGACAAATGTGCATAGTATCACGTAGCCATTAAACGTTGTTAAGGAGAGCTGTCAGTCAAGGTCAGGGAAGTAGCGGCATTGAAATCATTTCCCTTCGAAGATCAAGAACATGGCAGACCGGCAGCCATGATAACACTAGGTCTATCGTACGTGTCTGACGAATGTAGGTTGCTAGTGTAACGCTCGTGCCTCCAATCCGGATAATGGGAACACCTTCACCGACGAGCTGTTAGTGAAAACCTTGAGGAGGAAGTTATACGAGAATTTGTATCGAAATAGCGTTTACGGAAGAGCGTCTTTGATGTTGTTGATTTTTGAAGCGTGTAATTTTATGACAAGTTGGTTTTGAAACTTGTTTGAATGAAGTGGAAGATGGTAACGGAGGAAGTTGTGAAGTTTGTCTGCAAGTGAAAATTTATGTGAATAGTTATTTATTTATTGTATATTGTACTACATTTGTAGTGAAAGGTAGATAATATACTCTGTAGTATTATTCAGAATGTATTAGCTTCTTCCGGTTTATGGCTGCTTCCTATTTAAGTTTCTATTTTATTTATGAAAGTGATAAAATAAGTATTTTTATTATAAAATTTAGAATCATAATTCTTTCTAATTCAATTTTAATTTATTTTCATTTCAATTTGTTCTTCGAGTAACGGTATTTATCAGATCATTTGTAAACCAAACTTTTTGAAGTAGCTACTCATTCGTGTAATTAAATAACAGATTGAATTGCACACTTTGCATAATATTTTGCTAATCCTAGCAATTATACAAAAATTAGCGATTAAATTAGTGTACACTTCACGGTTTCTCCAATATCATAATTTCCACTTGTAAAAGTTGCTGATTATTGGTCAAGTGTTCCAGATCGCGCTTCTCATTTCAAGCATCCTTAGTCATCTCGAAATACCTTCAGCACAGTTAACCCCGATACCAAAAATTACGAGCACAAAATCTCAATAATCCTAACAATGTTCGAACCTTCTTCCAAATTTCACTCTCGCGTCCCACATTTTTTCCATTTATCGTGAGTCGTCGACTTCGTCGAAAGTCCACGATCCCCGCCAGTGTTCCTAGACGGTAATCGAACGATAATCGAAGTGGATCACTTGCGAGATCAGACTAGTCCCGTAGTGAACGGTACAACGGGTCCACGCAGTTTCATGGAAAAACCATGCTGGTGCAGTAATCGAACTGCACGGATAATTCTGCTCTGTTGGAAAACGGTGTGTTTAGTGCTGAATGTAGTGTTCAAGCTGTTAGAGTGATATAATACTAGTTTTATATGGATATTTAAATATTTGTTAAGCTGTGTTTATGTTATGTGTCTGGTAAGTTGACAGATGCAATGGGAGAATTAATTCTGACTATGAAGTTAGAGATGCTTAGGTGCATGTGTGACATGTGTGTAAATTATCACATATGTGAAATTGTTAACAATGTTGTTATAGAACTTGAATTAATGTTGACCCTAAATTGAGGCTGATCTAGAATCAAGGTTGAGCTAGTAGAGATGCTTAGGTACATATGTGACATGTGTGTAAATTATCATATATGTGAAATTGTTAACAACGTTGATATAGAGCTTGAATTAATGTTGACCCTAAATTGAGGCTGATCTTGAATCAAGGTTGAGCTAGTAGAGATGCTTAGGTACATATGTGACATGTGTGTAAATTATCATATATGTAAAATTGTTAAGAATGTTGATGTCGACCTTCAATTAATGTCGAACCTAAATTGAGGCTGATCTTGAATTGGGATAGAGTCAATAGAGATGCTTAGGTACATATGTAACATATGTGTAAATCATAACATATGTGAAATTGTTAAGAATGTTGATTGTCCACACTGAATTCATATCAACCCTAAATTGAGGCTGATCTTGAATTAAGATAGAGTTAATAGAGATGCTCAGATACATATGTAACATATGTGTAAATTATAACATATGTGAAATTACTAAGAATGTTGATTGTCCACACTGAATTCATATCAACCCTAAATTGAGGCTGATCTTGAATTAAGATAGAGTTAATAGAGATGCTCAGATACATATGTAACATATGTGTAAATTATAACATATGTGAAATTACTAAGAATGTTGATTGTCCACACTGAATTCATATCAACCCTAAATTGTGGCTGATCTTGAATTAAGATAGAGTCAATAGAGATGCTCAGATACATATGTAACATGTGTGTAAATTACAACATATGTGAAATTACTAAGAATGTTGATTGTCCACACTGAATTCATATCAATCCTAAATTGAGGCTGATCTTGAATTAAGATAGAGTTAATAGAGATGCTCAGATACATATGTAACATCATATGTAACATATGTGTAAATTACAACATATGTGGAATTACTAAGAATGTTGATTGTCCACACTGAATTCATATCAATCCTAAATTGAGGCTGATCTTGAATTAAGATAGAATTAATAGAGATGCTCAGGTACATATGTAACATATGTGTAAATTACAAGATATGTGAAATAGTTAAGAATGTTCATATCGACCTTAAATTCAAGTCAATCTTGAATTAATATCAACCTTAAGACTGACCTTGAATCGAGGTTAACCTTGAATTCCTCTTAGTGACACTTCTGTGACAGTGTGTTGTATCTTCACATACATAATTACTATTCAACTAATGTGATCAAACTTCATACTTCATTTCTGTGAGTGATATTCAATTTCCATAGCAGTTAAAGCTATCTCCGTACCCACATCATAAATATCAATTCTGCTACATCATTACATCAAACTAATAATGACCCAGTATAAACTACCCAGCTAATAGAAATCCAGCACCAAACCCATCTACAAATTTCTACAAACACGCATCACAAATAACCTACCGCAGCGATCAAACAAAGCAGACCCCATTACAGCTCAAATCGAAATCGTACACACAGCGATCCCCAAGTCATGAAGAGGCTTTTCCACCAGCTTTCACCCGGAACGCCAGGGCAAAGGTTTGGTCGCGCATACGAAAATTCGATCTGGTGAACGCCTTAGAAGTCCCGCGAGTAACCCGAAGCTCGGCCGGTTGCATCTGAAGGAGACGATAATGACCTTCCACGGTATGGCCGCCGGAGTAGGAGAGCCTTTGACACACTTGACGCTCAAGTGAATCGTAACCGAGAGCCGGGAAGCTCGTGGTTAGTTTTCAGCCGGAGATCGAGCGGAGCGCGTCTGGCGATCTCGGAGCAAATACGTGACATGGCCAGGTGACATGAAGTGCGCGTGAAGGTTGATCCAGGAAGATAATCGAGGTCGAGGGAGGGGGATAAACCGTGCACGTGGGTGAAGAAACCAAAAGTGCGACATAGAAACTCGTTTCGAACGTTATCCGGAAATCGGTGCGATGCATTCGAGGACGCTGTTGATCGTCGCGTGTTTTTGCGTGGCACGCGCCAGCTCGCAGTTCTTCAGCTTCAAAAACCTGAAGGATTACACGAGGATCTTCCAGCTGGACGGTCTGCTGAAGAACGAGACCGGTAACGAGCTGTGGAGCGGCCTGTTCAGGGACTGTGACCGATCAGTGACGTTCTCGTGCATTCAGAAGAACGCGTACTCGTATTTGGACAACGTTTTTGTGGACCGGGACAATGTTACCGTGTTCGAGGGGTTGACGCTGACGAAGAACGACCTGGATTACGGGACGTGTCGCAGGAACTCGCTGGAAGAGAACCTGGTGGAAGGATCAGTCAAGGACGACTGCGATGAAGAGGAAAGTGAAACAGGACGAGAGTTCGAGGAGGAACGATCGCCTTTGGAGGAAGTGACCGATGCTTTGAGGAAGAGGGCGGTGAAGTTCATTGCTACTCGGGATTACGAGATCCAGCTGCCTGATTTCTTTTTTGAGGGGGCGGCGATTAGGATTAGCCCTAAGGAGGTCGATGAGAATGGCGCTTTGGTCAGGGTGGACTTTGGACAACGGGGGGTGCAGGGTGAAGGGAGGATCTTCAAGAAAATTAGTACGTTATTTCTTTTATGGGGGAAGTTTATCTGTTATTTTCTATTTTATTCATTTATTTTTAATATATTAATGCAATAATTATTATTTGAACATTCTGTTATCTTTTGTTATTTTTTATTTTTTATATACTTGAGACACTGGAATTTTTTAAAAATATTTACAGGACATTTATTTCTTCAAATTGAAATTATACAAGTTGTTACTTTCTCAGTTCATGTTAATATGAACACGAATAATTTTCTAATCAATTCTACTCTTGTAGAATATAAGAGTTAAATAATTAACTATAATTGTTACATATTATTGTTATAATTTTTACCTATTTATTCACAAAAGAACATCATTGTCTGATAAGAAAAATCATAACAAATATTTCTGTAGGCATCTAAATTTTCTCTCTTGAAGAATGCATAAAGATGCACAGTCTAATAACTAAAAAGAACCAAAGTATTAGAAAGTTTGAAAAAGTGTTCCTCTTTCAGGGAAGTTCATACAGAACAAGTTGCTGACGAGTTTGCTGGCACTGCTGCTCATTATCAAGCTGATAAAAGTGAAATTCATGTTCGTGATACCCTTCCTGTTCGGCGTGGGGACCGCCAAGAAGTTGTTCCTGAAACTGTTACTTTTCTTCATACCTGCATTCGCGCATATCTTCAAACTGTGCTCGAGCTATTACACGTCGCACGCGACCAAATACCATCATCATCATCATCAGGTAAATACGGAGTCACTGACATGAACTATTTACATGAACTGGTAGAACCTTATTAGGTAAAATTAAGCCTAGTAAAATTCAGAGTAATTAATAACAAAAGAGAATGTTAGAATTGCTTCTTTTTGCTGTCTTCAATGAACTGTAATGTTGAAGTTCATCTTTTTACAATGTTAACGTTTATTAACAAAAGATGAACATATGTGTTCATGACCTATCATATGGTTTGTTCAGTTTATGATTTATTATGTATGATATGTTCATATGTGATCTGTTGAGTTCATGATCTATCATATATGATATGTTCATATGTGATCTGTTCAGTTCATGATCTATCATATCTGATATGTTCATATGTGATCTGTTCATATGTGGTCTGTTCATATGTGATCTTTTCATATGTGGTCTGTTCATATATGCTCTGTTCAGTTCATGATCTATCATATATGATATGTTCATATGTGATCTGTTCAGTTCATGATCTATCATATCTGATATGTTCATATGTGATCTGTTCATATGTGGTCTGTTCATATGTGATCTTTTCATATGTGGTCCGTTCATATATGCTCTGTTCAGTTCATGATCTATCATATATGATATGTTCATATGTGATCTTTTCATATGTGGTCTGTTCATATGTGGTCTGTTCATATGTGATCTTTTCATATGTGGTCCGTTCATATATCCTCTGTTCAGTTCATGATCTATCATACACGATATTTTCATATGTAATTTACTCATATGTGACCTGTTTATATGTGATCTGTTCATATGTGACCTGTTCATATGTGATCTGTTGAGTTCATGATCTATCATATATGATATGTTCATGTGTGATCTGTTCAGTTTATGATCTATCATGTGTGATATATTCATATGTGATCTGTTCATATGTGACCTGTTCATACGTGATCTGTCCATACATGATCTGCTCACATGTGATCTATCCATATACAAATGTACGATCCATTTCCACAGCAGACCCAAATATTTTCCACGTTTTCTTAAACATGTTAACTAACATTCTAAACCAAGTAACACACTAAAATCTCAATAATTTCAGATAGCGCATCACCATCACCACGTCCCAGTTCCCGTGCCAATACCCACATACTACAACCACCACCATCATCACCACGACGAGGAGGACTTCGACGGCTACGACTACGCTCATCCTCACATACAATATCGAAAAGACGTTGAAGAGCTGAAGGAGTGGGGCATCGAGCCGTACGAAGAGTCTTACGAGCAGCACAACGACCCTGGCCGAGTGCCAGGAGTGCTGCCAGCGCCGTTTCCAGGACCCACGTACGCAGGAGCGTATGGTATACCACAATATGCGCCCAACGCTCAGAATATACCAAATGGTCCGTTAGTGTCGAATGGACCGATAGTACCTAATGGTCCAATATTATCAAATGGACCAATAGTGTCAAACGGACCAAACGGGCCAATAGTATCAAATGGACCAATAGTACCAAACGGACCAATATTAGCTAATAACCCAGTTGGACCGACATACACAGAGAAACGCCCGATATCCGCCCACAATTTGGCCTACTCCGCTTATGCCGATCGACGAACTCAAGCTTCCGTACCTTCGAACTCCCCTAATCTACAGTCGGCGATACTATCAAAGTCTACGAACCTCAAAACGTCCCACAACGTGGGTCAAAACGTTAGACAGGTTCCCACAGGAACCTTGAAAGCACAGGAAGTAAAAATTGTACCCAAACAGACGATCAGTTACGATGACGAGTTTTATGGGCCAATCGTTGGTAGGCTAGAAGAGATATTCAGACAATTGAGATTCAACGAGGAGGTCTGCAGAGAGAGATTGGTGTGCAGCATGTACAAGAACCCGACTGTTTACTCGCCACACAGTAATCTCGTTTCCAACGAACTCTCCAGGTAAGGAGTGATTAGCACGTTGATCTCTCTGCCGTGAAGTTGGTTAGGAGAATAAACGGAAGTGCGGACTTTCGAGGATCTTGAGACTTCCGATGGCTGTGTTGATTTAGTCTAGTTACGGATGGGCGTGTGTGGACTGAAGTGATGAAGGAGGGAGTTGGAGAATTTGGAGATGTAGGGTTTGGGAATTTGGGGATTTTGGGAGATGGGAATTTGGGAATTTGGGGATTTGGGGATTTGGGGATTTGGGGATTTGGGGATTTGGGGAGATGGGAATTTGGGTGATTGGGAATTTGGGAGATTGGGAATTTGGGAGTTTGGGAACTTAGGTGATTGGGGATTTGGGAGATTGGGAATGTGAGAGATTGGGAATTTGGGAGATTGGGAATTTGGGAGATTGGGAATTTGGGAGATTGGGAACTTGGGAGATTGGGAACTTGGGAGATTGGGAACTTGGGAGATTAGAAATTTGGGAGATTGGGAATTTGGGAGATTGGGAATTTGAGAATATGGGAACTTGGGAGATTGGGAACTTGGAAAATTTGGAATTTGGAAGATTTGGAACTTGAGAGATTAGGAATTTGAGAGATTGGAAATTTAAAAATTTAGGAATTTAATAATTCCACAATTTTAAAGTTTGACAACTCTGAAAATTTGACAGCTTCACAACTCCACAATTTCTCAACCAAAATATTTGCAACCTTGCAAACCTAAAAGCTTGAAAACCCAAAACTTGCAACCTCAAACTCGCCAAAATAAAAAACTTGAATCTCCAACAATCTAAAAATGTAGATCAAGCAATAAAGTTTATGACGACAAGAAATTTCGTCGACCATCAAACAGGGCCACATAATTAAACGTTTATCCGCGTTCGAATTTCGATCGGCACCAGGCGTCGATCACTAAAGAGAAAGGTGGCCACCGTTCCAAATCGCTCGAACGTCGAATCACGTTCCACAAACCTGTCTCTTTTTCTTGTTACGTTCTGTATATTGAACGGCTGTTCACGGTCATTGCCGAGTAACAAACAATGCTACATTCTAAGCGGAGGTGGAGACTCTTCCGAGCAGAAACATGAGTCGTTAGTTCCGGTAGGAAGTGCGTAATATTCGTGCTGCTCTCTAACTAAACTAATCATTCTGTTAGCGATTCTTCACTTGCTAAATGGCGAAAGTCACACAAATATTGGTTGAAAGAATAGTCATTTATTCCTGGTAAAATTTGGTTTGGTTGTCGCATTTTATTTTATTTTTATTTTTAAACGCGGTTGTGGGTATGTTAGGTTAGGTTTTTATTCGATATTAATTTATTTTAATGTTTTATGTGAGCTGATTTTTATATGAGGTTATTTTGTTTTATAGTTAATTTTAATAGTTTGTAGGTATGAAGGAGATAATTTTACAGTGGAGTTGTGGAGTATTATACAGAAAATCTGTTTTAGTATATTTTAAGTTTGTGGATTTGTAGATTTCTACATTTCCAGATTTTCAAATTTCTCAATTACCAAGTCTCCAAATTTCGAACTTTTAAATCAGATATTTATAACCAACTCAATATCTAAATATTTTAGCCTAGAGTTAACCAGAGGTGACACTCTTTGTCGGCATCTTTGATCTCGAACTTCGGTTTGGGAATTTAAATTCGTCCTCTGTCTCTCTAGGAGGTTCCCTTGTCTAGTCTCTTGTTATATCTTTGTCTAAATATTATAGCATTAAATACAGTAGACATCTAAATACTCCATCTACATCATACCTAACCTAACCACATAGTGCATATCATACACCATACACCTCGCCATAAACTTAATCATACACACATTAACCCTTCGCACTCGAAGATAATTTTACTGTTTGCAAACAGCAACTTCAAAATATTAATTAAAACGTTAAATGACTTCTTTTGAAGTTATTATTTCTCTACTAATAATTTCCACTATTATCTATTTCACTATGTTTATACATCACATAAGCACTATTATAGAATTAATTAAATGCTTCTCTTAAATTATTCTATTAAATCGAATGGCGCCTCTCAAAGGGTTAATCTAAGTATCTGCAACAGATATTAAATATCTATCTATCTCTAAACTAGTTCCTAACTATCTATATTAAACTAGTTCCAAACTATCTACATTAAACTAGTTACATAAACTATTAATAACTTCATATTACAGAGACCCACAAGAGTTGAAGCGGACAGTTACCGAAAGCCCGTCCAGCCAGAAATTTCACCGATATCTGAGCGCAGCGAGATTGGGTCAAGATGGAGGCGACTGCTTAAGAACTTATCCGTGTCACATAAATACCGAGTAAACCAGACGTGGATTTTTCTTCCCGATTTTACGAAGATCATCTTCTACCGAGCGTTCAAATCTCCAGCGAAGTCTCCTGCTCGGGCATCGAAGTCTCCTGACCGGTTGATTCCGCTACGCGTAATCGCGGTTGATTTAGGGCAATACGAGTGCACAAGTTCTACCTGGAACACGTCAGACAAATTCCTTCCAAACGATGTCACGTTCGATGTAATTACGTGTTTTATACCTGTGGCCGAGGATTTTCTGGAAACGTTTTAGTACCGCTTTTGGTAAAACGTTTTTCTTGTTCCTGGAGAACTTTTGCACGATATTCTCTCGGATATTTTAGATTTAAGAGAGGTTGATAGATTGTTCGTGGAAATTTTAATTTTTTGGAGGACTCGATGAAGGTGAAAGTGCTGTGTTGCTTTATTGAAATTTTGAACCTTGGTGCTTAATTTCTGAGGAAGAAATTCTGAATGAATGAAAGAAATTTTGAAAGAAATTCAAGGACTTTTTTAAATAATACTGAAATAAATTGATTCTGTTAAAAATTATAATTTGTTAGTAGAGTCTCTGTTCTTTGTTCTTGAAGAAGTTAAAATTGAGTCCAAAATAATAATTCTGATAAACAGTTTAACAAGTCCTCATCAAATACAGTAATACAGTAACTTAATTCAGTAAAAAATTACAATTTTCAAAAACACTGAATTTTCAATCTCTTCAAATTAAAATTAATATGTGTCAAGTTAAAATTGCCATGAATAATTTATTGAATATTTAAATTAATTTCTGATGACGTGTCAAAGAGTATTGACACCTTGTCAGAGATACATAAGAATGATTTCTGTAATAATACACCTTATGTAATTAGACAGGAAGTTATTTTTATCGCGTTTCATTGTGTGGAGCTTGTAAATTATTATAACGTAATTTTAAATAAAAGAATTCCTAATATTAGTTGTTAAGATGTGCTTTTAAAATACGTTCTCGGGTGCCATACCCAGTTATTTATTGTATTTATTAAAATCTCGATTAAGTGTAGAAAGTATGTACAAAGTGTAAGATGCTTCGATCGTGCTACCTCGAAGTCTCGATGTATACTGTTTTGTTCATAATAAATTCTGTAAAAAGATCTACTGTCTTGTACTACTGTTTTATATCCTCTTTTGTATTTTTTTGGAAGTAGAATTAAATGGAGTTATTAAAAGGTAGTTTATATTTGTTTCAAGTACTGTACTTTTTAATGTGTTTCTGATGTAGTGGAAGTTATTGAGGTTTTATCATTTTTTGTTGACGTTGAATTAATTTTTAGATGAGGAAATTGATTTGAAATTTTGATCGTAGAAGATTAACTATGGAAATGATATTTAAACTTGAATGTTTTTGGATATCTAAATTTTCAGTTGTCAAATTTCGAAATTTTCAAATTCATAAATTTGCAGTTTTTATATTTTGAAGCTTCCAATCTTCAGACTTCGATATTTTCAAATATCCAATATCCCAAATTTTCCTATAATTTTTGCAAAAATACCTAAATTTTCAAATACCAAACTTTGCAACCTCGTAAATCCCTAAATTATCAAACGAACGTATCACAAAGCTACAAAAGTCAAATTTAAAAATCTATAAAAGAACCTTGAAAATATCTTAAACTCGACAGTATTCAAATTTTGAACTGTATCAGTAGCAAACAAATACTCAGCACACCACAAACAAAGCCTTACGCAAGCGTGACTTAAATTCACATATCAAATCACTTTCTAACCCGCTTCCAATTATGCTGATTCTCATAAACCTTACTTTCATCTATTCTCTTCTCACGATCAAAGCTCGAGTAATTTCACTTTGCGTTAGATTTCTTTCATTCCTCTTTTCTCGAAACAATTTTCTTGTCTCAGCATTTCCAAAGGTTCGAAACCTAACGACCCAAACCTACAATCCAAAGCTAACATTCCAAACCATTTCAAAGTCGCGTTTCCAAGCTCACGGCGAAAGCAACTGGAATCCCGAAAGCAAGCGTGTAAGCCACGTCCAGCACCGGAAACGCCGGGAAGAAGTCGAAACGAAAATGGTCCCCGGGGTTCGAGCCGTGAAAACATCGTCACCCTAGATAACGAGGCTTTCTTCTTTCCTTTCGACCGTCCACACGTCCACTGATCAAAATTCATCGGCCGTACGTGGTCGCCATCGGCTATAAAACCGCGTTGTCTTCGTTCGAGCCGGCATTCGGTGTTTAGCCTCGCAAATCGGTGGTATCATGAAGTTTCTAACGATCGTCGCGTCCGTCGCCATTTTGGCTGCCGTCGCGTCCTCGCAGAGGACCGAGACCACGGCTGAGGTCCTTCGCAATATTTATTACAGGTGAGACAAATCGTTTTTCACCTACAAACGTGCATAACTAAACGTACACATAAATGCATAAATAATTTAAGCACACATATGAACATTTTATATAAATGCATATATGAATCTTCAGCTACAAGCATACATAAATAAATAGACACATACATGTGTAAAAATAATGCATAATATATAAGCACACATATGAACATTTTATATAAATGCATATATGAATCTTTAGCTACAAGCATACATAAATAAACAGACACATACATGTATAAAAATAATGCATAATATATAAGCACACATATGAACATTGCATATGAACACACATATAAATTTCCACCTACAAGCATACATAAATAGACAAACATACACATGCATGAATATAACACATAATATATGTATAAGCACACATATGAACATTGCATATGAACACATATATAAATCTCTACCTACAAACATAAAAAAATACAAAAACACACACATGTATAAATATAACATATGACACATAAGCACACATATGAACATTGCATATGAACACAGTAATAAATCTCAATCTACAAACATACAAAAATACACAAACACACACATGTTTAAATATAACATATGACATATAAGCACACATATGAACATTGCATATAAACACACATATGAACACACATATGAAACACACATATGAACACACATATGAACATTGCATATAAACACACATATGAACATTGCATATAAACACAAATATAAACATTGCATACAAACACATAAATATACCACATTGTAGATGCATCGACAACGAGGCAATGTTGTCCTGCGTGAAACCAAAAGTCCTAGCTTACCTGAGCAACGCAGTGAAGCAAGACAGACTCGCGATCACCGAGGACCTGGCAGTCGTGAAATCCAGAGACTTTCCTGAGGAAAGCAACGAGGAGTACTATCCTTCGCAATACGACTCCGTGGACCCTGCACGGAAGGAACTCCTGAGGTCCTTGATGCTGGAGAAACTGGATGCGTACCTGTCGAGCCATCAGTTGGAGGCTAAATTACCGGAAGCCATTGCCGGGTCCAATATTGTGCCTAGGTCGTTGGTGGACAGCATGCCTCGTAGTTTGACTGTACCTCTGTCGGACTCTTCAAACGGTCAAGGTGGGTTACTCAAAGTTTAGTAGGTTTGTTAGTGGAATTTGGGGTAGGAGGAAAGAGGGTGGTTGTTTTTAGGGAGATTTGATGGTAGGTGTTTTTGGGGAAAGAGGGTGGTTGTTTTTAAGGAAATTTGATGGTAGGTCATCTTTAACAAAATTTGAAAATAGTCGTCTTCAATGAAATTTAAAAATAAATCTCTTCGATGAAATTTAAAAATGAACCTCTTCGATGAAATTTAAAAATGAATCTCTTCAATGAAATTTGAAAATGAACCTCTTCGATGAAATTTAAAAATGAACCTCTTCAATGAAATTTAAAAATGAACTTCTTCAATGAAATTTAAAAATAAACTTCTTCAATGAAATTTAAAAATGAACTTCTTCAATGAAATTTAAAAGTAAACCTCTTCAATGAAACTTAAAAATAAACTTCTTCAATGAAATTAAAAAATGAACTTCTTCAATGAAATTTAAAAATGAACTTCTTCAATGAAATTTAAAAATAAACCTCTTCAATAAAATTTAAAAATAAACCTCTTCAATGAAATTTAAAAATAAATCTCTTCAATGAAATTTAAAAATGAACCTCTTCAATGAAATTTAAAAATGAACCTCCTCAATGAAACTTAAAAATAAACCTCTTCAATAAAATTTAAAAATGAACCTCTTCAATGAAATTTTAAGATAGTAATCCATAACTAAATTTGATAATCCTTTCGCAGGCCGTGGATTCGTGAAGAAGGTCATGATACCGTTCCTGTTGGGTCTGAAGTTCAAGGCCACGGCTCTGGTGCCGCTCGCTCTTGCCCTGATCGCCTTGAAGACGTGGAAAGCTCTCACCCTGGGTCTTCTCTCGATGGTTCTCAGCGGAGCGATGATGATCTTCAAGCTGACGAAGCCCAAGGTCGCCTACGAGGTCGTGCACTATGGACACCCTCCAGTGGAGCATCCACCCCACTGGGACACCGGCGCACACGGTCCCTACAGAGCGTACAGGAAATAAACCCACCCCTAGACCTTTCTATTTAATATTTATTCGCGCGACTCTGACTTATTTATAATAAAATCTCTTGGTCTCATCAAACCTTGTCTCTCACTTACCCTGACACCAGATACTTTCGTTTTTTATCGAAAGTTTGTTTGTAAATTCTGTGGCTGTTAAATTCTGTGGCTGCTCGTGAATTCGATAGGAACGAGTAAAAGTATCGTACTGCGTTTTACAAGTTAGATGAAAATTGGGATAATGTGGAAAAGCGATGAGGGAAAATGTTGAAAGGCGAGAATCGATTCTATGGCCTGAATGCTTATGCTAACTCGACCCAATATTCCAATTACCGTTTCATTGTTACGAGCTGGAGGAAGTCGGGCAGAGCTGAAGTGTCTCCAACCCCACGCGTACATTCTCGCACGAGAAACTCGCACGCAATGCGCATTCCTGATTAAATACGAGGAATCTGCTTCTTGTCAGCGACTTAATTGGCGGAGTTACAGGGTGAAATTTTATTGATACACTTCCTTCGTGATTTTCTTTATGAACCGTCGTTAAACTGCAACCGTAACTTCGTCGCAAATGATAAAATATTCTTGTATTTATATATAGTACAATTTTTATAAAGTTCTTTTATTTACAAGAATACTTGAATTATGTAAAATGTGTATTTAATTTATATTTTAGTATAAATCGTATATAATATGTATGTATATGTATGTTCATATGTTTGCATAAATATATGTTTACAATTTTATACATGTGAATTTTGTGTGAATATATGAGCATATGAATTTATATTTACATTTAGATACGTACAATTGTTGTATTCTCTCAAACTAAAATTTTTTTCAAGACTCTAGAAATTATGTAGATCTTATACAAACTTTATAGTAATTGCTACATTAACTCCATCACAAAAAAAAATATTCAACACTGCTCTGAACATGAATTTTATAAAATTCATCAAGAAAGAATCTTACAACAAGAATTTAAAGTCGACAATAATAAAAGAAAATATCCGTTAATAAAAAAAATATCCAATAACAAAAGAAAATATCCAATAACAGAAGAAAATATCTAATAATAACTCCCACTAACAAAGTCCAACAAACAATAAAAATTGATAGCAATAAAATTGAACCAAAGTGACAAGAAATGTAAATGAGAGAAGAGACACCAGCTAACGAAGTCAGCTAGATCGAAACAACGAGGAATAACCGAAAGGGTGAATAGCTGTTGATTGGAAAATGAGTGGGGACTCAGACGTGTGGAAAGTGTCGAGTTCGTGGCGTGAATGAACGATCGATTCAATGCCAATGTTACGGTGCCATTGGTGCCAAGGATGAAGGGTCTATACTCTTACTCGCGCGCGCAACTTCCGCTTTTCTACCCTACGATACTCCGCGAACACCGCGCCGAATATTCGAAAGTTTCGGCCCGTTTATTGCGTGATCTGATTGTTTCATCGACACTCGATCGAGGTTAATCGAATGAATGATATTTTGTTCACTTCGGAATGCATATTCCTATCATGAATTCCTCCCGAGGAATTTTTACTACCTAGTCCCTAAATGGAATTTTGAACCACTTATCTATTTTGTACCTCTTCAAACGAACTCTCGTATGTCTTCTTTTTTCTGAAGAATACAGGTGAAAATATTAAATAAAATATAATATATGAAGTACTAAATGGGACATAAAAATGAAAATATTCAATGAAAAGAAACATAAGAATCACTAAATGAGACATAAAAATAAAAATGTTCCATGAAAAGGAACAAATGAAGTTCTAAATGTTACGTAATAAAAAATGTTTGTTAAAAAGGAACATATGAAGTAGTATATGTTAGACAAAAATAAAAATGAAGTATAAAAGAGAAATATAATGTAGATTTAAATAATTTATATATCTTATACACAATATGTTTTATACTATTTATTAAAGCATCTTTTCTATAAACTGATCACATTGCACCCCTATAAGAAAAATAACATAGGTCAAAATTTGTTAAAAAATTATTTTTATTATTTTTACTTACTGTAGATAGAATGTAGAGAACATAGAGGAACATAAGTATAATAGCAAGTATAGTGGAATAAAAATGGTGGAGCAAAACAGTAAAATAGAAGTACAGTAAAATATTAAAATAAAAATGGTATAGATAGAATATAGAGAACATAGAGGAACATGAGTGTAATAGCAAGTGCAGTGGAATAAAAATGGTGGACCAAAACAGTAAAATGATGAAACAGTAAAATAGAAGTACAGTAAAATATTAAAATCAAAATGCTATAGATAGAATATAGAGAACGTATAGAAACATGAGTGTAATAGCAAGTGCAGTGGAATAAAAATGGTGGACCAAAACAGTAAAATGATGAAACAGTAAAATAGAAGTACAGTAAAATATTAAAATAGAAATGTTGTAGATAGAATATAGAGAACATACAGAAACATGAATGTAATGGCAAGTGTAGTGGAATAAAAATGGTGGACCAAGACAATAAAATGATGAAACAGTAAAATATTAAAATAGAAATGCTATAGATAGAATATAGAGAACATACAGAAACATGAGTGTAGCAGAATAAACAAAATGGTGGACCAAGACAGTAAAATGATACAATAGTAAAATTGTACAGTGGTACTATAGAATAATAGTATATCATAGTACGTCATACTAGACGTGTCAAGGCAATAAAACAGTAGAATAGTGCATCAACAAAATAGTAAAAATAGTCAGACAATAACAGTATAACTGTGCACCGTAGAGAGCTCAACGCACGTGTTCCTACTAGACATTCCGTTTCAAACAAAAACCAGAGTCAAACGATTAATAATCCCATATCTCCCAATTCTCCAAAATTGCAATTCAGCAATTGCTCCCCGAGTTTAAAATCCATGAAAATGAAGACCCGTGCAAAGATCTTCATTTCCTACTGCAAATCGACTTAATATCAATAATTAATATCAATGGCCGAAGCACGCGACCCAGGATCGGCCGACATAGTCATGCGTCGCAGAAAAGCTTTCTTTCGACTTTGCTGAACCCGCGTCCGTAGTCGCGTCACGCTCGTGTCGAGGCCTCGATAATCGAACACCATACTGAACGAAAAGAAAATTCGTGGCCGGATGGAAGTGGGGGCGGTTGTGGTTGCCGCTACGTCCATCGACCAAGTACGATGGGGGCTCCGTATAAATAGCGTGATGCCCAACCCATTGGCATCAGTCGTCGCACCATTGTCATTCGTTCTTGTCCACGGGACCGCAGCCTTTTCCTTCAGGGTGTACCACGAGTCTTTTTCCCAGAACCATGAAACTGTACGTGTTGTGCGCCGTATTCGCCCTGGCGGCTGCCCAGCCGGCCAAGAACGACCTGTGGAAGGGTAGCAGCATGGACCAGATGGTGGACCAGACGAAGATCGAGTGCGCACAGAAGAACGACGAGGTCTCCTGCATGAAGTTCAAGGTCCTGAACCTCCTCGATCAGATCTTCCGCAAAGACAGCTTCAAGGCAAGTGACGTGATATCGCACGCTTTACATTTATTTTATTCCCTTGAAAATTTTAGAGATAACTTGATAATTTTGGAAAAGTTTGACCCAAGGTGAACTTCCCGTTCGCAGGTCTCCGAAACGGTGGAAGTGACCCGCAACTCGAACCCCGTAGAAGAGGTAACCGGTCGCAGCGAGGCTTCCCTGCTCGACAACGTGCAGACCTACCTGTCCTCTCACGACGTGACCTTCAAGCTGCCCATGGACTCCTCCGTGAAGGTGAGCGCCAGGAACATCGACGACGATCAGCTCACCTTCGACGTGAAGTTCGGCCAGGGTCGTGCCGTCGAAGAGGCTCGCAAGTCGAAGTTGAAGAAGGTCGTCATCCCCATCCTGGTGTTCGTCCTGCTGAAGGCTATGACCCTGATCCCTCTGGCCATCGGTGTCCTCGGTCTGAAAGCCTGGAACGCTCTGCAACTGTCGTTCTTCAGCTTCATCGTCTCCGTCGGTATGGCCATCTTCCAACTGTGCAAGAAGATCGCCGCTGACGGACACGGTGCCGCTCTCGCGTCCCATGGACCATGGGAGTATCAGGCTCAATACAGGTCCTTCCAGGAACAACCCGCTGTGCAGTACTCCGCTCAGGATCTTGCGTATGCTGCGCACGCGCAGGCGTAAGGATTCTTCTTCTTCGCGACTTTTGTAAAATACCTGTCTTCCTCTCCTCTGTACGCTTTATTTAATAAATTATTGCTGCAACCTTATTTTTTATGTCATTTACTGTGATGACCTAAATGGGGTACTTTATAGTGTCGTACAAGAGGTACTCGTAGTATGTTTGTGATTAAATATAGACATTGATTTGAAAGTATGACTATGACACAGAATATAGACATTGAGTTGAAACTATGACTATGACATAAAATATAGACATTGAGTTGAAACTATGACTTTGACACAGAATATAGACATTGATTTTAAACTATGACTATGACACAAAATATAGACATTGATTTGAAAGTATGACTATGACACAGAATATAGACATTGATTTGAAAGTATGACTATGACACAGAATATAGACATTGATTTGAAAGTATGACTATGACACAGAATATAGACATTGATTTGAAAGTATGACTATGACACAGAATATAGACATTGATTTGAAAGTATGACTATGACACAGAATATAGACATTGATTTGAAAGTATGACTATGACACAGAATATAGACATTGATTTGAAAGTATGACTATGACACAGAATATAGACATTGATTTGAAAGTATGACTATGACACAGAATATAGACATTGATTTTAAACTATGACTATGACACAAAATATGGACATTGATTTTAAACTATGACTATGACACAAAATATGGACATTGATTTGAAACTATGACTATGACACAAAATATAGACATTGATTTGAAACTATGTCTACGACACAAAATATAGACATTGATTTGAAACTATGACTATGACAAAAAGTATAGACATAGTATGACTACAAGCTGATGTAAGCACAATGACTACAAGTTAAAGCATGGATGACTTGGATCAAGATTTCAGAGTCCTCAACATCAGAATATTTTCAATATTTTAATTTTGTCAGTAAATAAAACCCTGTAGTATTAGCGATGTGTATCATTTAGGGTCTTTATGAGATAATAGTAAAAATCCGTGAAATATCATAATGAATCTTCAGTTATAATGAATCTTCTTTGCGTTACACATCGCCATTTTCCCAAGCGAAAATTAGTGTCAATAAGCATTGAAATCATCACTAAAGGAGAGCGATAAAATGCTCAGAACGAGGCGATTAATACCAGGACTCGATTAGAACAATTACGATAATGTTGTACAAATTGCTGCTCCATTATGCATGATCATAAGCAAGGACATTTATCGCGCGTCCTATAAACCGGCGGTTAAAGCAGCTTCGCGTCTCAAGGGAATAAATGGTAACACTTAGCGTCACGCATCCTCCTGTATAATTGACGCGATCTGTCCTTGCCATCCTTTAATTACAAGAAAGAAATCGTGAATTCTGTCTAGGTTTAAAATCCGGTTCTACAAGGAGATTATACCTGATAATAATCAGATGCGACCTGGAAATACTGCGTTGTTTTATGGATAGTCCAATAAAACCTTTCTGCAGTTTCGTTTTTTATTCGGAATTATAAATTCTGTTTGAGTTGAAACTTAGATCTTGTTAATGTGCGCTAAGGATTTAAACTGCGGGGAATTTATTAATTGCACCTTGGGGGCTTCTGCGATGTGAGATTATAATTGAAAATTTACGAGTTGTGATTAAGTAGAGTAAATACGAGGTTTGTGAGATTAAGTCGTTGGTTATGGTGGTCATTTGTATTTTAGTACTTCATGGTACTTCAAGAACATAGTAACAAGTGGACTGTTTCGATATTGACATCAAGACACTTTTATGATATGGAAATTAAAAAACAAGCTAAATACTGTACTTGATATTGAAATATGTAGAACAAATTATTATATAAAAATTACAACTATACAGTTTGAAACAAAATATATTTACATAAAAATTTAACATGTTCACGTTCTGAGTACAAGCAGACAAAATAATGAATGAGCAGATACTATCAAATCAACATGGTGAAACCAAAAAACGACTGACATATTAACATCCAGTACGTGAGTGTAATGTCTGAGGTTACTCGACGAGTTATCTCGTCCTGCATGAAGTAAAAGTGCTTTCCAAATGGTCATGTGAGAAACATCACTATTCTACAAATATAATTTCACGAAGTATTCTTTTGACTGCACGTGATGTCACGAGTAGTATGTGACTACAGATAAATGGAACAGAGATCGATGATAATATAGAAAAGAAAAAATTGGTTAGGGCTTGTCAGGTTCTTGGATATAAAATTAAAACCTTGTATAGTACCAATTATTTTCAATTCATATAAATTGTGTATTACATATGAAATGTACTTTATAATGAGATGTAATTTATATATAATTCTTGTGTTCTAAATGTGTGGACTTTTATGATGTTGTGTTGTAAATGTATGGACTACAATAAATAAATAAATATAGACTAAATATGTAGATTACATATGATACACACATATGACTACATATGATTGACTACATGTGATTGACTACATATGATTGACTACATATGATTGACTACATATGATTGACTACATATGATTGACTACATGTGATTGACTACATATGATACAGATATACGGCTACATATGATTGACCACATATGATTGACTACGTGTGATACAGACATATGGCTACATATGATTGACCACATATGATGCAGACATATGACTACATATGATTGACCACATATGATACAGACAAATGACTACATATGATTGACCACATATGATGCAAACATATGGCTACATACGATTGACCACATATGATACAGACATATGACTACATATGATTAACTACATATGATTGACTACATATGATACAGACATATGACTACATATGATTAACTACATATGATACAGACATATGACTACATATGATGTACACTATATCTTTAATACGAAAGTACACATAACTGATATAAACACAGATGTACATACATCCATAAATAATTATAAAACACCTAGATATAAAAATATTATGCAACACAATAACCCTAAGACATCAGCCTAATATCACCAGACAGACATCACAGCAATCGAAGTAGCCAAAAATTGGCACCGTTGTCCACAACTAGAACGGTTATCCGTTCTCCAAACGTATAGCAGGCCTATGCGATAAGCAGGGCGTTAGAAGGCCAAGTAAGAGCACGCGGGGCAAGTTCCGTTTCCCGTGCGTCCCTGGCGTCGCATGCCATCGTGTACGTGGTACGCGAGCCGACACTCGTTCCGTACACGCTCGTACACGCGTCAGGACGCGTGCACGCACGTATCCCCCCACGTCCGCGGAGAGGGATAGTCCCGTCTATGTGCCAGTGAAATTTGAATAATTTTCCTTCGATCGTCGATTCCCGGCATGCGCGACCGAATAACATAGATTCGCGGGGGGCAAATTAAATAAAAGGGGCGGGCCACTCCTCCGTCAGTCGCAGTTCGATCGTCGATCGCTCGCTCGCACACGGGTGATCGATTTTTTCACGCTCCGCGAGTTTCGTTAACTTCACTACCAAGGATAACATGAGGATGCTCGTAGCGGCCGCAGTAGTGTTGATGGCAGGAAGCTGCCTGGCGAGCCAGGACTTCCTCTCCAAGTCCCTGAACGAGTGTATCGCGGCGGACTCCTGGACGTCCTGTCTGAAGCACGAGGTCCTCGGATACTTGGACGACAAGCTGGGCACCAGCACCGAAGCCAGGTCCCTGGATACCGTGGACGAGGCCATCGTCGCCAGGACCGTCAAGTACCTCAAGAGCTTCGACTACGGAATCGACCTACCCTTCGTGGACGCCGGTCTGAAGTACAGACCCAGCCGCAGTCTGGCCGACCTGGACGTAGAGTTCAAAGGCAACGAGTTGGCCACTAGCCAGGCTCGAGGAATCCTGAAAAAGAAGCTGTTGTTGCCTTTCCTGCTGCTCTTGAAACTGAAACTGAAAGCCTTGATGCCAATCTTCATGGCCATTATTGGATTGAAGGCGCTGAAGGCTCTGGTGCTGTCGAAGCTCGCGATACTCATCGTCGTTGGATTTATCGCTGTGCAGTTCTTCAAGAAGGGCGGTATGATGATGCCAATGGGTACGTTAAATAAGATAAGGGATAAGGGGTTTGTGGATGGAAAGTGAGAGTACTTTTTTGTAGGAATGTCGATGGAACCGGCGGCACCATACGGAGCTCCACTGCCCTCGACTACGTCGAGCTACGACCCGGCCAACACGTGGGACGGAAATGGACCGTACTCCCGCGTCTGGACGCCGACCAACGGTGTGGAAGCCCAGAATCTAGCCTACTCTTACTACTCGCCTAACAGCGGATCCAGCTCCTACAGCTCCTCGGGATCCTCTTCGTCCTCGTCGTCGGTCCCTGCAAGTTCGTCGAACTACTAGGTCCGGTAGCCTCTGGCATCTGATAATTAATTCTTAACGAGTTCTTGACGAGATCGATCGTTCTTTCGATCGAGAAACCAAAGAGACGCCAAATAATCTTCACGTTCGATCGAAGACTCGATTCTGTTCCGTCCTTTCTTCGGGGTGTAGATGTTTTAATTGGGGAGGAAGGATGGGACTTCTGCGACAATGATAATGGCAGCCATTTTAGGCTCGGATTCTCGAGGATGCGAAACGCCATTACGTTTCGGCGATGATTATTTATTGCGACACGATTATTTATTCCCTCCCTCGCATTTGTTAATAAACATTTGTATAACAACCCCTCGTGCTCATTTAATTGCCTTTCATCGTTCTTGTAATTTTGTTTAGCTTTTCATTTAATTAATAAGATACTAATTTGCAAATTGCAGTTGATTTTTATTAAATCCTTCCTAACTTATTTTAAATACTTTTTATTTAATTTTTGTCATTTTCTAAATTTCAAATTTTGTTATCAAAATTGAATTTGATATGTATATATAGTGCAAGTTCTACTTTAGGTAAGTGGAAGCAATTGTAATTACGTATGGAAGTCGTCAAACGTTATAACGTATTAAAAATATGATATTAAAAAGTCAGTATGTCACTGACCGTAAGATTTACAAATTAATGAACTGAAATTTTCTGTCGAGTACTTTCTCCGTGAATTTCAATTAAAATATTCCGATCACGTCGAAAGTGTAAGCGCCAGAAAGTATGCCGTACCTCCTACAACGACGCGTGTCTGGTTGCTTTACACCTGTCCACAATTTACTTTTACAATTTATTATTATTTCAGACACTAGGGAAAAAAGACCTTAACCTTGTCAATGCATAAATTAAAGATTGCAAATTTATTAATACTATAAAAATTAAATTTTCTAAACACAATGATTATTTGAATATTTAATTTATAAATCTTTAATGAGTATTTCTGAATGTTTCAATGAAAGTGAAGAACACATATGTACATATATAAAGATATTTGTGAAAAATAGTAGAGAAAAATTGCAGTAACAGGTCGATAAGGTAGTAAACGAAAAATTCATAGTACAAGTGTTCCACTACCTGTTCCATGGTAACCTTCAGTAACCTTGACGCTTGCGTACACAAGCTGAAGATGGCGCTTACTCTTGAGGTATCTGTCGGTACTCTATTTCATCAAATACTAAATTATAAACTTCGAAGAAAAAGACAGTCTAATCAATATCAAAGAGTGGATATGATAAGAGACACTAGACAAGAAAACCTAGAGAGAGACAGGAGACACAATTTAAATAACCAAATCAAAAGAATCGAGGGTGCACAGTATGGCGGTCCAAAAGAATAGTTTAAACCCGCATATTCACCAGTAATTTATTTCTAATAAATATTTTGTCATATCTCTGTAACATTCATCTATAATTTCTTGTGATATATAGTCTTTCATTTTCTTACAAGTTATTTAATAATCATTTCCCTAATACATATTCTTCAAATATATTTTGTAGAGCAATCATTTTTATTCTTTCCTTTTTCAACTTTTTAAAATTGATAAAAATACCTCGAAAGACAATATTGTATACAGAAAATTGATTACAAATATATTACAAATTATTAGAGATGAAAGTAGATGGCTTGATTTAAATTTCCCGCTCGTTCAATAAATTTAAAGAGATAAAAGGTGTCGATAGAGAGTGTCTCTAGCCTGAGAGTGTCTCTAAACCAGAGTGGTTTACTCCGTGGCAATATTTCCAGAAATATAGGTTTCTTGAAGAATATTGTCTCCATTAAACCCGGGTTAATCTCCTATTCACTTTGACCCTTTCTAAGCTACCCTTTCGTCGTGTGTCTTTAACGAGGCGTGGCACGAACGTCCCTTTCACCCGTACAACAACCCTTTCTTTCGGCGCATGGAAGGAAAAAACCGCACTGACCAGAAAACGCAGTAAAAGTTTATGGCTCGAAAGCAGGGCCAATTTCTCTCCTCAAGAAGAAAGGGTTTAACCCATGGAAATGGCGTAAACGGTTCGCAAGAAAATCATAATCCGCTTAGGGTCTCGGTCCTTTTCACTTGACCGCAGGATTTGCAGTAGCCGAAAGGTGACGCTGAAATTTTACTGGAGGCACTTTATGGACAGAAATTTTTACAAAATTAGTTATTTCAGGCAAATTATTTAACTTTGTGATTGGAGAAGAAAGTGGACACGTTATAATAAATAAAAACATCTGTAGATTCTTGCTGAAGATATTTAATTGACATGATCATGTTATATACATATATGTAGAAGTATTGGTCAAATACACATATGTATACATATGGAAATATTTGTCAAATTCACATATGCATATGTATAGAAATATTGGTCAAATAACATGTGTATATACATATAAATATTTGTCAAATTCACATATGTATACATATAGAAATAATGGTCAAATACACATATGTACACATATGTAAATATTGGTCAAATTCACATATGTATACATATAGAAATATTCGTCAAATACACACATATGTATACGTATAGAAACATTGGTCAAATTCACATATGTATGCATATAGAAATATTAGTCAAATACACACATATGTATACATATAGAAATACTGGTTAAATACACATATGTACACATATGTAAATATTAGTCAAATACACATATGTATACACATATAAATATTGGTCAAATCACATATGCATACACATATAAATATTAGTCAAATCACATATGCATACACATATAAATATTGGTCAAACACACATATGTACACATACGTAACAAATACACATACAGTTCCCTCCAGTCGATGAACAGCATGATAACATCAATTTTGACATTACCCAACGATGATACAATTAATCTTCCCTCTTCTAACTAAAATCCGTATCTTCAGTTAATAAAAGTCTTATCAAGCATCTTTGATAAATTGCATTAAATGTTTGAACCAAGAGTAATGGCGCGAACGGGTGATTAAATTCGAGAGTACAAAAAACGGTATATAAATCGGTACCTAATATATTAGAGAGAAGAGGAATTCGAACGGGCAGGCTGTTAATAAATACATCAAGTCGCATCCACGGATTCCTGTTGCAATTTGTTCAATGAAACGGCAGCCTCTTCCCGTTTCCAGGTTATTTATAAGCAACCGACTATCGCCTGGTTTTCTCGCGTGCTTTAATGAATTCCGAAAGAAAGACCGGTTCGATCGGGCAGAACAGAGCCGGGTGCAACCCTTTTTTCCAGAAAACCTCCTCCTCCGGGTATACTTCTCGTTTGTACCCCGAATCATCGTCTTAATCGTGGATAAAGGTTCTCCTTTTTTTCGGGGGACGATACATTCTCACGGTCCTCCGTGCTTTCCCGTTTAACAGATTTACGATCCGTGTAGCGCAACTTGCTAACAAAGCGTCGCTGAACAACCGTCGCTACCGTATCTCTCTCGACTAATTTCCCATAATAACGATGCCTTCGAAACAAAGTATACATCGTGTCTCAAAACACGCTCTTATCTGTTCGCTCGAGCATTGTGATCTGGTTTAAAGAATAATTACTTTCTCACGCGATGCTGGCGTTCTTTGACTTCGTACGAACGCGGATTTGTTGTGGGATTAATTTTATTCTTTTGAGGTTTGTGTATCGTTGAATACACAACGCGTCGAATATACAACGCGCTGAGTACACAACGCGTCGAGTACACAACGCGTCGAGTACACAACGCGTCGAGTACACAACGCGTCGAGTACACAACGCGTCGAGTACACAACGCGTCGAGTACACAACGCGTCGAGTACACAACGCGTCGAGTACACAACGCGTCGAGTACACAACGCGTCGAGTACACAACGCGTCGAGTACACAACGCGTCGAGTACACAACGCGTCGAGTACACAACGCGTCGAGTACACAACGCGTCGAGTACACAACGCGTCGAGTACACAACGCGTCGAGTACACAACGCGTCGAGTACACAACGCGTCGAGTACACAACGCGTCGAGTACACAACGCGTCGAGTACACAACGCGTCGAATACACAGCGCGTCGAATACACAACGCGTCGAATTCACAATACCCCAAATATGGAACGCATCGAGTACACAACGCGTCGAGTACACAACGCGTCGAATACACAACGCGTCGAGTACACAACGCGTCGAGTACACAACGCGTCGAGTACACAACGCGTCGAGTACACAACGCGTCGAGTACACAACGCGTCGAGTACACAACGCGTCGAGTACACAACGCGTCGAGTACACAACGCGTCGAGTACACAACGCGTCGAGTACACAACGCGTCGAGTACACAACGCGTCGAGTACACAACGCGTCGAGTACACAACGCGTCGAGTACACAACGCGTCGAGTACACAACGCGTCCAATACTCAACGCGCCGAGTACACAACGCGTCAAATTCACAATATCTCAAATTTGTAACGCGTCGAGTACACAACGCGTGGAATTCACAATATCCCAATTTTGTAACGCGTCGAATACATAATTTCTCAAATTTGCTACGCGTCGAGTACACAACGCATCGAATACACAACGCTTCACCTACCGACATCCTTCCACCACACTCTCAAGCCTTCACTCTTCAACTCCCATTTAATCCACCACCTCAGCTTCATCAACTAAAAAACACAAACCAACGAAGCACTAAATAAACACCAAAACAATATTAAAACTGAAACAAAATGAAACTGACTCATAACGAGTATAATAAAATTAATACAAGTCATTAAAATTATATACAGTCGATGATAAACGTTGGAACTTTTTGTCCGCGACCAGACGGCAAAGAGGAAGCAGAATCCTTGTGTTACAGATTTCCTTCCGGTTGCGCAACAGGCGACCGGTTACACACCCTGTCTCTTTCCCCTAACCTGATCTCCATCATTGCGTAGCGTTGATCCCCACAAAGGAACTCCAGTTTTCCAGAAGCTTTTTTAATGGGGCAGGAAAAAAAACGGGAGTGCAGCTTGTCGACAAACCCCGAGTTTTTCGGTTCCTCGAGTGTCCATACGAGTGGGGGAGGGAATTCGAATGCAGGAAGTTACGCATCCTGTGTGGATCGATTTATACCCTTGCGGATCGACCTTTATTCGGAGTCTGAAAGGTGGTTACATCGGTTTTGTAACGTTTATCTATAGCTTTTGTGGGTGACACGAAATAATACATTTTGTGGGTGATATAAATAAATTCGGTAGCATTATTAATTTTTAAGAGGATCTTTCATAAAAAGTACTGAGGTTACATTTTTGTTTAATACTCTTA